TATGGAATTTCTTTAAAACTGCAGGTCACATAAACTGCAAAGTGGAGAATTCTGTTACATATTATGTTTAAGAAAAATATTTCTGCAGTTCTTACATCAGTAAGTTTAAAAAACTGAATTTATGTCTAATGCAACATGCTTTTGTCATGTACACTGCTTCCCACTCAAAACACTCAGAAATGAAGTGAACTTGATTTCAACAAAAAAAAAAAAACAAAACAAAAAACAAAACAAACAAAACACAACCTAGTCAGTGCTGAGCACTGTCGCTCCACAGTATCTCCCTGTACATACAGGTGCTACAGGAGTTAGTTAAGGGCTAGCCAGGTAAAACAATGAATTGTTTCTACTCCCACAGACATAAATCAAGCCAGAACGGAACATGAAATTTTGGCAACAAATTTAACAATTATTTTTCAATGTGATTATGGTATCTTCTGTAGCAATCATTAATCTACACTGATATGTAAGACCTTGTTTTAAACATTCTTTATTAAGTACTTAATTCCTTAGATCTGAAATTTAGTATCTTAGAACCTGAGTGACACCTGACACCTAATGAATAATAGATACACTGTACAGACACTATGGAGGGTCAGCAGCATGCCACCAGTCCACTTCTACTTCCCTTTCTGCTGCTGAGTTTCAGGAGATAATATATTATCAACCTCCAAAGCCAGCCTGATCACCACGCTTCCATCTTTACAAATAGCATTCGAAACACAGGACCTCAGGGGAAAAAAAAAGAAACCAAACCAACTTTAATACCAGATTCCAGGCAGGTGCCCACCTACCTCCCTACTGTTTTCAAATTAAAACAAACAATTCCTTCTTATGGATTTTTAATGCTCTTGGAATGGCTGGGGCTTTGCTGGGGAAGGAAGGTTTTTCGGTGTAGCCCTACATTATAACAGAGGGTCTTTACCGGGCCAGAAAGATATTCTTGAACAGTTTTATACATCGTATGCATTTTCCTAGGTGCAGTCCCTAGATTGACATCTCAAAGGTGTGAGCCCCAAAAGTTTAAGAAGCTACTCAAGAACAAACCTGTGCTATTCGATGTATAGAATCAAGATCCAATTTTGTCTTACATCCACCCAATCTTGTACACAAATAGAACCATACAGACACCAATATTACTCCAGTCTTTCATCAGTCAGGACTATATAAAATGAACAACCTTCCTAAACATTTAGTTTAATGAGAAAGCTGCCAGTAAAAATTAGGTTTGGAAGAGTAAGTACTGAATTTGTTTTTCAGTCTTGTGTTGACTATTGCCAAAGTAGGAAACAAACAGATGTCTCTGGTTGACTTCTGTGTTCAGCTCTGGAACACTGACAGCCAGGTCCAAATAAGATCATTCTACAGATTGTAAAGCCATCAGTCACCCTCCCAGTCCCCCTGGACTCCACATCCCAAGTTTTCTTGCTTTAAGCTCTGTGTAACAAAGTATGACTTGGCCTTGATGATGTAATACATGGCCTATCTTGTTCAACAGAATGAAATTGGCCTCTTTCTATTTGAGAAGGGGTACCAAGAAAGGAGAGAAAATGGATGTAGGGGGAAAACATTTCATGACGCATAAGGAAGGAAAATGGTCACTTATTTCAATTTAAACTACATTTCCTCATCTCATAAAAGCAACCTGTCATTTGAATACCATCTGAGTTCTCTTTTGGTGGAAGACTGAGACAAGGTTTTTCTATGTAGCCCAGGCTACCCTTGAGCTCAGAGATCAGACTGCTTCTGCCTCCCAAGTGCTAGGCTTGAGGGTGTATGCACCACCACTGCCCAGCTTACTTTATTTTTATGAACACTTGTTAAGAAACACAAAATCTGCTGGGCAGTGGTGGCGCACGCCTTTAATCCCAGCACTTGGGAGGCAGAGGCAGGCAGATTTCTGAGTTCAAGGCCAGCCTGGTCTACAGAGTGAGTTCCAGGACAGCCAGGGCTACAGAGAGAAACCCTATCTTGGGTGGGGTGGGGGAAGAAACACAAAAATTTAAAATGGTAAGTTAGCAAAGGCCTGCTATGCAGAACTGAAAATCTGAGTTTTTCTGATACTCTACCCTGCTGTTTAATTTGATAGGAAGAACGCAGACGTCAGTAACAGAATACACAGCAAACACGAGGGAGGAAACTGTGTTGAGCTGACCCTAAATGGAAGACGCTCTTCTGACGATACAGCAGATCCAATGCCCGTCACACTGCAGAACATTCTAATAGTGACACCATTTAGCTGAGCTACTGACCAACACAACAATAAATATTATACACTTAGAAAACAGGTTCTTAAATAGCTTAAGCATATTCTGAAATACTATATAATTTAAAAGAACAGCAAACCAAAACACATGGCACATTATTGTAGGATATAATAAAAACCAGGCTTCTAAAATTAAAAGACTTTTAAATGCCTGAAAAAACTAGTTAGAAGACTAGTAAATGTAAAATGGTCATTTCATTATCAGAATATGTAAGTGAGAATATATAACAACCTTGAAGGTCCCTCCAAAGAAAAACCTCAGTGAGAAACATTTATACGCTAAAATATTTACAACTCTTCAAATACCAAATTCTATATTGTAAAAATCAGTAAAGTCTGAATCAGTAGTATACCATGAAATTCAAAGTTAAAGCAAATCATCCGTCTTTTTGAAATCTACTTATTAAATTCTCCAGTTAACTTATTCGATAAGGAGGGCAAGATGGCTACCGTAATGGTAACACACTGAAGAGCAGATGATTTCCTGTGAACACTGATGCTGGGCTGTGAAGAGCATTTACCTAAGTAAGGCAGAACCTACAGGAGGCCCTGGACTAGACCCCACCTGGAAGGACACTGAAGGTCAGAGAGCCTTAGCACATGCATTAACTGTGACTTGCTACTGTTGGGAGGAAAAGTCAAGGTCATTTCTTACAGATACCTCTGAATAGATACTAAGACACCTCAGCAGTCCAATTTACTCTTATGCTGAGAGTAATTTTCTATTGAATGGTATTCAATTTTTCGGAAGAAGAAACTAAACAATTCTGGGAAATAGAGAAAATACCACCACTCTTCTGGGTGGTGACCTACTTTGCTGAAGAAAGTACTGGATAAGGTGGGCAACATGACTTTATTCATTTATACAAATGATCCACTTATACATACGGTAGATTCTAAGTTCTGCTCAAAGGTGAACTCCCTGAGAACAAGGACCCACTTTTATCTCTTTACAGTCCTGAGGGACTTAACCTAGAACAGTGTTTTGGTAACACTTTACACTGTGGAGAGCTGAGCTTGGCTGGTTTAAAGTGCCCAAACACATGGTCACTGTAAGCAGCACTGTAATTAAGCAATTTCTACCACATAACTCATTGTTCTTTAAAAAAACAAAACAAAACAGGGTGTCACTTTGTAGCCCAGTTTAGTCTTAAACCCACGATCCTCCTGCTTCAGCTTCTCAAGTGCTAGGGCCACAGGCACAGCCCCCACACCTGGCTTTCCCACCTCAATTTCTAATACTACATGGCATAAAAAGTTAAGCAGCTGAGATAGCTGCCTAACTGCCTAGAGTCAAATGAATGCACAGTAACTAATGAAGTCTGAGAAGTGTTCTAAAGACAGGAAAGTAAAGAAAGGGTGTCTCTGGAGCCCTGGCTGTCCTAGAATTCACTATAGAGACCACACTGGCCTCAAAACTCAGAGATTCCCCCACCCCTCTGCTTCTGGATGTCGGGATTAAAGGCATGTGCCACCACTGCCCACTTTATTTTTATGACCATGTTACAACATTAAGAGACACAAAACTTTTAAGTGGTAAGCTAGCAAAGCCTGTCATGCAGAACTGAATTTCTCACTAACGTCAGAGTATACTCTGCATATTATGCTACCATCACATAAGAACTATTTCCCTTCACATTAAAAAAAAAAAAAAAAAAAAAGCAAAACCTCAAAGCCACACTTCCAAAATATTTGAGGCATATGTATCCTGAGATGTTAACTATCAGGAAAAAGGATGGCATTTTCCCAGACAGTAAACATACCTACTTGCACAACTCCTTCCTGTAGTCCCATGATGCAAACTGTACAGAGTATAGTGCTGGCTCACATGGAAAGATCAAGTCACACCAATCACATGGTCCTTACTCCAACCTTTGGTGTCAACAACGCCAGAGGAATATTCTAGCTTCTTCTCTTTTTTTGTTGAGAGACTCTGATAAAGGGCCTAACTACTAGAGTGGGACACACAGTTTTCAATTTCATGTAAGCTTCAATTTCAACACTGAGGTTGTTTTCCAGTAGGACCCAGGCCGCTTGTCTGGATCTCGGCTTCAGCTGCCACCCTAGCAGCCAGCCAGTGCAAGAAGCACTGGTTTTCATACAATGCATTTCATCTCCGCAAAGCCACAGCTTAGAACATTACCATACTCCCAACTCTACCACAGGTTTAGACATTAAGCATTTATTGTAAGTTAAGTTTGGAATTGGTTCTGTATTCTGGCTGTTATGAATTTCTAAGTATAAAGAGAACTTCAGATTTTCTTCATTCATGCTGAACTAATGTATCAATTAAATACAACTAACTTACATCTATTCACCTCACAAGTAAGAGGGATACTGAAGGAAGAGCCAGCTGGTACTATAGCTACTGAGGTCTGCGACACTTCACAGTGCTTTCCTATATGTCCTCAATTACATTGTCTTTAAGGCTGTATATTACAAACATGTTTATTTCCAAGTTTGGGGGAAAAACAAATAAAACAAAATATATTATGCTAACTTTTATACACAAAGTTGTGACTGAGTTTGACGTTGTATTCTGATCGTTTCCTATTGGCTATCTTACTATAACCGAGTCAATTGCATGGTGATAATACAGCACACCACCTAAAGAGACAAAGATACAGAAGGTACAGAAGAGTAGTCTCTGTAACGTGACAGACGGTAAAACTTACTCTTACATGCTTAATCAGAGGGGGTTAAGCCTAAATTAAATTAGGTTTTATATCTACAATTCCTTAAGCTTTGAAATTTATTTTTAAAGGCCAACATCTAAATATTATCAACATGCTATATTTCAAATCACAAATATATCTTAACCTCTTAGATTCTAAAGACGTGGGTCAATTAAAAGTTACAGGCAAACACACATTCGACACACACACATCATAGTGTTAGGACTGTCAGACTTTTGACAATGAGTTAATTAACAGTAGGTGATCCAAGCACATCTTAAGCAGCCCGAGAGAAACCCTTCTCAACAGTAGGAACAGCAGACGTTAGTCTTCCCATCCCCCTGTATGGACCTGGATGCTAACACCATCATCAATTTAAGGATACATACAGTTTTCCCTAGGAGGAACATCCCGTTTACTCCACATAGGGTTTGAAAACAGTGGTGAAAGAGGAATTACGCATACATGATTACTTTTCTTGTTTGTTAAACCAAGCTTTATTGACAAAATGGTATTCGGAATATCTTACTAGGAACAGCAGCAGGAACAGCCAATCGTGACAGGAAAAAAATGTGGCAGTCTCCTACTGTGTAGGAAGCGGCTGCTTACCAATTCATAATTAAATGTAAGAACTCATAAAGAGGTGCAGAGAATCAAGGCATGTTAGCCCCAAATTGATAGATACTCTCATGAATACACAGGATGAGCTGCAATACTCTTGGCTACGAGGAGAGGACATCCTAGAGACAGGTGAGAAGGGATGGCTGGATCACCGAGCCAGTCCCTTGCCAGAACACAAAGACAGTTTCCACAGACCATGGCCGTACAGCTTGTCAGCTTTTGGGATTCTTCATCACCATGCGCACACGAGCATCGAGCCATGTGGCTGCTGCTGCTGCTGCTTCCCCATCCCAACCCCAGGTCCAATAGAGCATCACTTTCTCTTGTGTCACACATCAAGCCAAATCTCCTTTATCATCGATAGTGATTTTAAAGCCGTTCATAATTAAATATGAGCACTTTGTACAAGGACAATTACACTTTACAAAAACCAAAATCATACAACAAAAATTTCTGGAGTCTGATTTACAACATGAATTACGGTTTGAAATCATGTTTCCATAAGTCTCAAATTTACAATTAAAAAAAAATCCATTCTGGGCTAGCTGTTCCAGCGCTGAAGCTGCAGTCCCTCACCGTGTCGGACCCTTCCTTTAAGTCGATGATGGATGTTAGAGGCTCGGCAAGGATGGGCTGAGTTCTCCTTTGGAGGAAGGTGAATCCATGGCCAGATGAGCAGCTTTACCACATATCATCAGTTGATGCAGAATCCTTCACATAGGAAAACAAAACAAGGCATTAAATGAAATGTTCAAGATGCTAAGATGTACCACTTTCTGAATAATGCAGAAAGACTTTCTGACAGTGATCTCTAGAGCTTAGTTGGTGTTTAAAGTATGTATGTGCATATATGAAATACTAACATTTAATCTGTTTTGTTAAATCTGTTTTGTTTGGCCTGGACTCACCCACCAACATTTTTCATAAACAAATAAACCCTTTGATTTGGAAAAACGCTGGGAGGATGGACAAATATATCATAAAACCAAGGGAATTACTAAAAAGTGTCCTCTATGTTATTTTCAAAGTTCCTTTTCATACGTGCATTGCATTGTGGGAGGAAAAAGGCTTCAGAGAGCTTTACAGCACTGCAGAGAGCTGCTCAGGAATTAACAGCTAAGAGACCATGGCACTGCCATGCTAAGGCTCACAGGCAGGGGCATCTCTAGCACTTTAGTGAGGGCTTTGCCTCAGAACTTGTGGCAAAGATCTTTGTAAGCATAAAAACACTCCATGGAGAGGAACATTCAAAATTCTGCTGCTACTCCTCATAAAACTCAGTATAATCCAAGATTCTAAGCAAAGAGATTCCTAACTTAAAAATGGTGAAGGCAGGTCTTCAGGAATTGACAGACGGTAGAGACTTTCTTCTTGAGGAAGAGGTGGCCACCTACCATGCTGGGTTTGTCCCCAGCCACTGGGACTGGGCTCTATGAGAGTCCGAGCGAGCAAGTGGAAGTCACAGTACTCACTTGGGCTGCGGCTAGAACAGCTCCACAGGGAAGGAAGGGTGTGCACTGAGGAGAGGGGGAGGGAAGCAGATCGAGTGAGAACGCTACTCACAGTGTCGTCATTTTTGTAAGGGTTCAGTCTATTGTAAACGGCTTCAATTACATTCCGCCTAAATGTTAAAAAATACACAAAGTTAATCCTTTAGAAAGTAAGCCCTAGCCTGGTGTTCATTAAAACTCCAAAAAGTAATCTTTCACTTTGAGCACATTTAGTTTAGCTTCTGCTGACAACACCAAACCTGTCTAAGACACCTGTGCGCTAGTGTCAGAGCAGAGGCATGGATTACTCTATATTCTAACAATAAATGTGACAACCCACTGTTCTAGAGCGAAAGGCACAGTGGCGCACGCCTTCAATCCCAGAACTTAGGAGGCAGAGGCAGTCGGATTTCTGAGTTCGAGGCCAGCCTGGTCTACAGAGTGAGTTCTAGGAGAGCCCAGGCTACACAGAGAAACCCTATCTTGAAAACCCAATATAATATAATATAATATAATATAATATAATATAATATAATATAATA